ACGATAAAAAAAAATTCCCCCCTATGAAAAATACCTATAGATTTTGAAAATAGACTTGATACCCGTGTCTCGGCGTTTTTTTAGATCACGTCATTTTTTTAAGTGGATGTTATCCACGGTATTCGGCACATAATATAACAGCTTCGATAAAGCTGGACTGTATGTATATTTTTACGAAAAGTGTAGTCACTCAGTGAATTTCACTGAATAAATGGACAACCATTAAAATTATTTATTTATTTTAAAATTATTTCAGGTTATCCCAATTTGCCCTGGTTTTTCTCGGGTTATTCGTTCAAAAATGGTAAAGAATTGACATGGAATCTTTTAAACAATGTTTTAAGATTCCAAAAATGTTACCCCCATATCCGTAAACCTAATAGCAAACAAGTTATAGGCTATTTTTGATTGACGCGCATTTGTCAAATTTTAACGAAAAAAAATTTATGTAGAATTTAAGAATGTAAAAAAATATGAGGTGTTTTATTTGAAATAGTAGTAGTGGTGTTTTTTAGGTTGTGATACCATCGATTAAATATAAATTCTAAATCAAGATGTTGTTTTATTGAAAAAAAATTAAAACTAAAAATAATTTAAAAAAAATTAAAATTATTATTTTCTTTAAGTATAATTTTCGTATTATGTAAAAACATACAATATTTGAAGAAAAAAAAAGATTTATAAGAAAATAAAGAATTAAAAATCTGTATAGGTTAAAATAATAAGAATGGCCGTATACAAAATTTAAATGACGTGATTTCGTAAAACGGTGAGACACGTGTTATTGCTGCAATAGATATTTTGAATTAAATAATTAAAATAAATTGACGATACGTCTGACGACGACACAAACGATGTCGTTATTTTTGATAGGGGTCTATCAACAGTCAAAAATGACAAAGTTAAGTGAAATATATGCCTAATAATAGCTTTTGATAGTAATTTAATATTAAAAATTTAATTTATAATTTCCTTATATTATATTTTATCAAGTCGATTATTTTATAGAAAGAATACAGCTTTTGTTTAAACCAAACAAGTTAATCTTATTAAAAGGTTATTTCATCGCTTTCTTCAAAAAATCCAGATAGCACAAGAGGTACCCAGGACGTCCGTTTCGGGTCCCACATAGGTCCGAACGTCCCAGACCTATATCTGAAGTTTTGGGTACGTACAGTCTCTTACTTATTTGGGAAAATTAAAGCGAATATACTCGGTACGTACCAAGGACGTAATTTTTGTTTTGTTTTTTAGCAATTAAAGCATGGTATTTCCAAAGGGTCTAAGAGTCAAGTTGGCTAAATAATATATTATCATTTAAAAATAGTTTGTGTCATGCAGAATGACTTAAAAAATATTCCAACATTTATATGCTCAAAATAATTATTTTTCATTGATAACTCACAATTTTATTTTTGTCACTTAGACCCTTTGGGAATACCACTCTTCAATTCTGTAGAGCTTGTCCAATAATCCCCAACAAAGTATTTCAGGACGGCCAGAGGATGTCTTACTTAGGACGTTCTGGGGACCGACGATTTGGTAACATCGGATGTCCCTGGTACGTACTCGGGACTTACTAATGTCTGATACAAGATGTACTCAGGACGTTTTCAGTACTTCTTTGTGCTATCTGGGAAGGAGGACAAATCCTGCCTAGCCATTTGTGGGTGTTTTGCAAGGCTAGCTGTAGCAACACCTATTTTCTTGTCCCTATGGAGACAGTTAAATTCAACTATTTTAGTGAGAAAGAAAACATAATTTTATCAATAGCGATTTTGTGTTTGCCCTTGTATGATTATTTGGTTATTGGTTATTACCAATTTATGTAAAAAAACTTAATAACTTTAAAATATATAAAATTATTACAATAAAGCTTTATCAGTTAATTTTAATTAGTTTTTTTCTTCAATATAAATTACCCGTCACATTGGGTTGAGAACCAGCAGTGGTTACTATAGTAATAGTACTTTTAAGCAATATTCTCAAGTCAAATGAAATAAAATGAATTCCACTTAAGTCGTAATTTATTATAAAAATAAATCATATAGGCAAATTTCTTGACAAATTTCTTAACATAATATATTATAGGTATTGTTAGTAGCAATATATTTTGCAGTTAGACTTGGGTTTGGTTTAAAAATTTCCAGGGAGAGAAAGTGCGGATAGGAAGGCAAGAGCTCATAGGTAAAAACGGAAAATGTGTTTAAAACTTATTTTTTAACTAAGATTAAAATAGTATATTACACTACAAGGGCAGAAAGTGTGAGATTCCTGCACTGCGCCGAGGGCATCATGGCGCGCAGTTCAGGGCTCTCACACTTTCTGCCCGTGTAGTGAATACTATTTTTCTTGCTACCCGTCCGAAAATACGGGAAAAAATTAAATGTGTATATCGAAACATATTGATGCCTGCCCCGACATTTGCGGCACGAGCGAAGCCTTCGTAGCCCTTGTAGTGTAATATACTATTTCTTACTACCTCGGCCGAAATTACGTTGATTCGTCCCCAATTCCAATGCATCAAACGTAAATTTGACCAATGCATCAAACGTAAACTTTCTGCCGTGGAATCGGGGACGAAACAACGTAGGTAGTAAGTTTATACATAAATATATTTTTATCAATAGTAATTTTGTGTTTGTTCTTGTATGGTTATTTCATCATCAATTTATGTAAAAAACTTAACAACTTTAAAATATATAGAAATATTATAATAAAGCTTTTTGGTAAACTTCAAATTAGTTTTTTCTTCAATATAAATTTACCGTCACATTGGGTTGCAGCAGTGGTTACTATAGTAATACTTTTGGGCAAGTCTCAATTTAAAATAAAATAAAATGAATTCAAATTAAATTTATTGTCAAAATAAATCATATATGCAAATTTCTTAACATAATATATTATGGGTATTGCTAGTACCAATATATTTTGCAGTAAGAGTTGGGTTTGGTTTGGTTGTAAGTATAAAAAACGGCAAATTTGTTTAAAACTTATTTAAAAGTTTTAAAAACAAATCCTATTTGTTCCAAACTAAGAGTTGTAGATATACTTTTACTTCATATTTTAAATAAAGTTAAAACAGATTTGATAATTTTATTGCATGGAATTAATTTAGTTTTGTATATTACGTATAATCAGGGCCGGATTTAGCATGGGGCCAGCGAGGCCACGGCCCCAGGGCCCCCACCATTTAGGGGCCCCCACCAATGCAATATATAGCTTTTTAATGAAAGAAATATGAAAAAAAATGTCGAAAAAACAAAAAGTTGGGTCGGTTTTACCGCGTGAATCCTGTAATTTTCAATTAACTTTTCGTAGATCTATCTCTAACTTTTCGCGGATTTTTTATCGCTTATCCGCTTGCAAATCAGAATGTAAATTATCACACTCAAACTTTTGGCGCGCGAAGACGTTTTTATATAGTCTATAGTCATAAGTTATGACTCATAAAAATTTTAAGCAGTTGCTCCTTTAATGCTTGTCGTAACGTTTTTGTAAATACAGGCAAACAGTCAATTACTCATAATCTAATATTAGGTAAAGTTAGTTTTTGTCCCAGATTGATATTGGTACATTGGGGTGTTGTGGAATATACTGTTTCGTGCTTTTCTTTGAACAAAAGATTGTTTTATTGTTTGATTTTGTATGAAAAACAGACAAATAATACGACTTTTGATGCACTTTTTTTCAGTTTGCGGTAAGTATTAAAAATACAAACAAAACATAGATCAATTTATATTTTACTTAAGTAAAATATATATAAGGTTATGTTCATATTATTCAAAATATATAAAATAAAAGTATATAAAAACACTTTCATTCACAATTCTATTCAACTATCTACGTTTTTATAGTTTTGCATACGAATTTATAATTTCTCAGACTTGGGTAAAATGTATATAAGGTTATGTTCATATTATTCAAAATATACAGGGTGACAGACTTGTGGTGACAAAAGCTCAGGGGAAATTCCTCTCATCAAAATATGAAAAAAAGTTCCTATAAACACGTGCACAAATGCTTCATTATCGAGATACGGGGTGTTTAAAAAAAAATAAGTTTTTTATTTATAGCTTAAAAACGCTTTGGCCGATTTGATTAAAATTTATATGGTTTATTAAATAATAAATAATTCAAGGATAATACAAAATCACGTAAAGTTTCTCTAGCTTAAAAATTTACCATGAATTTCCCAAGTGTCGCAAATTTTAGAAATATTGAGGGCCCCCATCAAATTCGGCCCCAGGGCCTCAAAACTCTTAATCCGGCCCTGCGTATAATATATAAATCATAATTAAACAAATCATAAATGTAAACAAAGGAGGATATACAGAAAACAAAAAATGATAATTTTATTTTACGGGGATCTACAGAAAACAAAATCTTATTTTATATGAAAATTAAGTAAATTAACTATTACATTCAATTTAATCTCAAAACTTAATTATAGCTGCTGTTAAAAAAATCCAGGCAGAAACCAGACAAGAATACATTACTAGTTATGCCTATTGGCAAAAAATATATTTATTTATTACCGTATTTAATTTTAATTTTTGTCCATGAATAAACTAGATAAATATTTTCAGGTATACATTGGCTATAGCAAATATATTGTTTTAAATTAGATAAGTTAAAGTAGGGGTTGAGTTAAAACAGATAAAACGAGATTTTTTTTTAAATTAAACTTTGAACATTGTGTTGTTCCATTGTCGATAGACAGGTGAAATTTGATAATTAGAAATCAAGGTTTTAATGTAATTGCAAAGGCAAAATTAATGTTACAGATATGAATATCGTACACACAGATGTTTACATACCTACTAAATAAACCATTCGTGAGTATATTGATTTTTCTTTTACAATAACAAAATTGGTACGTAATAATATGTTGGTACAATACCTAGGTACATATTTAACATAAGCATGTTTTTAAATTAAGGTAGTTCAATTTAAACAATTAATTACAGTTCATTAAAAAGAATAAACATTTATTTTACCTTGAAATTAGTAAGGTTTTTCTAGTAGTATTTATATTAACACATTTCCACTCTAACCACAAATAATAATTGCAATATTAAACGTAATAAGATTTGATTTAGAAAATTCGTACCTAAATATCAAATTAGTGTTGTTTAGATAATAATTTATTGATATTTTATTTATAATTTCAAAAATATTCACAAAATAAACTTCCTCTAACACACGACCTCTGATCCAAAACGACGCGACGCTATAACTGGCAGCGTTGAGACGCAATCGTTGCTACAGGTGCGTAGGCGCATATTGGATTTGTTGCCTAAAATCATTTAACAAAATGTGTAAAATCTTAAAGGATAATAAAGGAGCGCGGTTGGTAGAATTGTTGTTGCACATCGGTTTTGACCTCAAAAATCCTTTTGAAAAAATAAATATTTACTATTTTGGCTAGCATAATATTGATAGTTAGTTAAAGCCCACGTAGGATGGATTTTGGGAAAGTATGCACTATAAAATTGTATTACAGTGAACGCTCCCTTTGCAGACAGGTCCCATAACCAGACAATTTTTCTGGAACCATTTTTTCCCATTGTTTTTAATTAACTTTCTAATTTAAGGAAACCTCCCATAAGCACGTAGATATGTTGGGACCGTGAGTATATATATTTTTAATTATTATGAAATTCTTTAGCACTTAATACAAAAATTACAAATACAAATTTATAATTACGTATGTACATTCAATTTTTAATATAAATAAAAGAATATATAATATAATTAATATTCGGAAAATTTGCGCTTTTTTACGGAGAATTCGGAATGATTAAAAGTTTTTTTGTAGTAATTTTCAATGATAAATGGATAATTTGCATTGACTTGCAAATATTATTCGTGTAAAAAATGTACCTACAACAGATATTTATCAAGTTAAAAAACGTTAAATCACTGCCGTGCACAGAGCCGTACCTAGAGAGAAAATCGGGGCCCATGTTACATGTTTTTTTTATTTTCAAGATGCTTTTTAACGAAGTAAAAAATAATTCACTAGAATATAAATAATGACTTAACATTATAATTCATTAATATTACAACCAATGAAATGCCAGTATTCCATCGTTACGCATTTTATCACAGCCACAATATTTTTTAATAATAATAATAATAATAATAATAATAATAATAATAATAATAATAATAATAATAATAATTTATTTATTGCCCAACAGTTTAAACCATTACAGGACATTTAAATAGGATACATGCGTACTATATAGTATTCAAATTATAAAAAAATATATAGATAAACCTAAACAACAGATTATGTGTGCAACATTTAAAGATGCTAATTAACATATTTAATTATATAGCTAAGCGTATTAAAGTTTATATCACAAGATTCACAGAATTTATTAAAGTTACTGCACATCACAAATAAGGGCGACTTAAGTCCCAAATTAGTTCTATTAAAGCTTAGAAGAAAAGTAATTTTATTTCTGCTAGTCAATCTTGGCACCGAAAAGTTAATCTGAGAAAGCAAATCACTACAACTAATTTGAGAATTAAGCAACCTAAACAAAAATGAAATTGATGCAATAACCCTTCTCTTTTCTAGAGATTTAAATTCAAATGTCGATAGTAGCAAATCATGGTCAAATCCCTGAGTTGGATATTCATTATATATTTTAAGATGTAAGAGCTTTAAAAATTTGCGTTGTACAGTTTCAATGCTTGTTATATGGACTAGATAGATTGGATACCAGATTATGGAAGCATATTCCATCTTTGACCTTATTAATGCAAAATACAGCATTTTTAATGAGCTTTCATTTATAAATTGCTTGATATTTCTAATGAGAAAACCCAACATTCTAAAAGATGAGTTTACTACCGCGTTGATATGATTTATAAAATTCAGCTTCGTATCAAACCTAACTCCCAGATCTTTAAATTCTGTAACTTGTTCTAAACGCCTATTGTTGATTTCATAATTATACAATATACTATGCTTTTTCTTTGTATATATCATACTCTTGCATTTATTGGTATTTAAATGAAGGTTATTTATGATACACCAATTATATAGACTATTCAAATTATTTTGCAGTTTAATGCAATCATCAACAGTTTTGATTTCTAAGTAGAGTTTCAGATCATCATCAAATAGTAAATTGTAAGCTGTTAAAATGTCTGGTAGGTCGTTGATGAAGATAAGAAAAAGTAGTGGTCCTAGATTGGATCCTTGTGGAACACCTGATGTTGGAGTAAACGGTTTAGAACAAAACTCATTGTAAGAAACATATAGCTTTCTATCTGTTAAATAGGAAATGAAGAAAAATATTAAATGGTCAGAAAATCCAATTTTTTTTAATTTAACCTTAAGTCTATTATGATCTATTTGGTCAAAGGCTTTCTGGAAATCTGTATAGATAACATCCACTTGTCCATGATTAGCACATTACTGGCAAACTGTGTAAACAATGTTAAATTGGTGACCGTTGACCGTTTTTAAACAAAACCATGTTGTTGATTTGATATTATATGACTTAACTGGAAGTATATTTTTCTATAAATAATACTCTCGAACAATTTTGCAAAATTACAAAGTATAGCAATTGGCCTATAGTTTTCAACGTTAGAAGAATCACCGGATTTCAAGACCGGAACAATTTTTGAAGTTTTCCAAATTTTGTGAAATTTACCGGTACGTAAAATTAGGTTAAATAGATACAGTAACGGTTTCAATATTTCAACGCTGCAATCCTTAGCAATGAAGCTTGGAATATAATCAACTCCGCAAGTAAACTTGTTGCTTAGCTTTTTTACTGCATTTAAAATTTCAGTTTCAGTTATTGGATCCACTTTAATATTATTTATTGAACAAAACTGTTCGTCAGTATTATTTAAATTCGGTAATTGATATACACTTGAAAAGTAGGTAGCAAATATATTCACAATATCATCAGGATTGGTGGTTGAGTTTCCATTATAATGCATACTAGTACACCCTTTCTTACTTTGAACAAATGACCAAAAGGATTTTGGATCGTTTTTAACGTTATGTTCAATTTTAGCAATATACTCTTTATATGATTGTTTAATTTGACGTTTAATCAATGATCTAATATTCTTAAATAGTTCGAGATAAATAAGTTTATTAGTTTGTTTAAATTTTTTGTGATAGTTTAACTTTTTATTTATATTAAATATTATGTTAGAACTAAACCATGGAGGGTATTTATTTAAATGTTTATTATTTGGCTTTAATGGCATGTGTGATTGAAAAGAGTTATATAGCGTTTGATAAAAGTAATCACAAGCAGAATCAATGTTATTAATATTTTTTAGAGTATTCCAATCTATATTTAGGATGTAATTATAAAGTAGAGGGAAGTTGGCTTTTTTGAAATTAAATTGTTTACTAGTATCATTCATAGGGAAAACTATTTTTTGTGCTATACTAACACTAAGATTTATGTTAATAGGGGGATGGTATTGATCAACCCTTACCAAAGGACTAACATCATGCGTTACCACTAAATCCACATCTGAATAAACTAAATCTAAGATTCCTCCAAAACTGTTTGTTATGTTATTATGTTGAGTTATATTACAAAAATTAGAAAAACTGTTTATTACAAAACTTTTTCTATCAGCTAAACTATTATTAAATAAATTTGGCGTGTTAAAGTCCCCTAAAAGTACCAAGTTCCCAACGAGCCCATTTATCAATGTGCCCAGCAGATCAAAGAAAAGTTCATATTCGCCTAAGTTTATATCAGGAGGAATATACAATACAATAATATACAGCGTTGTTTTGTTATTTATAGGAACTTTACAACCGACAATGTCAATAGAACCAACAATATTTTGTATGTTGTTAAAGTTAATTTCGGTAACGATAAAAGTATTTTTTATTGCAATTAACGTCCCACCTCCCCTTAAACGACCTAAGCTCAGATTGCGATCACATCTAAAAACATTATAATCACTGGAAAATATTTCACTGTTAGTTATATCCTGTTTAAGCCAAGTTTCGGAGATACATATAAAGTCAAATTCACAATCACACACAAAAGAAAAAAATCATGAATTTTGTTATTTAGACTTCTAATATTTTGGTAATATATTAGTATCTCATAGTCTACTTTATTATTTTTGCAACTGTTGGGCATTAGGCGTTTAAAGAAACAATGTTGGGTATACCTCTAATATATTTGATGCTCAAATTCGTTTGTCCATTGGTTGTTCTGGTTTCAAGGTCAGATTTTAAAGATTTGTAGTATTCTATTTGGCGAGGTGTTCTATCATGTGCAATAATAACGTGTGATAAGTTATTATTATTTTTTAGATTTGACGATTTCTTCAAAAGTTCAATAACCAGTTCTTCGGTATTAAGTCGTATTTTTATGGGTCTAGGAGTTGGCCTATTTGGGTCGAATTTGCCTAGCCTTATAGGGTTGGTAAATTCCAAATTCGCATTAGGTTTTAAGAATTTAATTACTTCATTTACGTTGGTTTTATCTGATCTTTGTCTTTCGGTACTGTTATTAGATGTTTGCTCGGTAATATTATATAATATAATATTTAGTTTCCTACGATTCCGTGATTTCTTGTATCACTTCCTCAAACTGCAGACTGGTTAACTCTTTATTAACTGGAGGGTTATCCACACTTTTCTGGAGAGAATCCATTTGTACCACCATTCGGCCTATGGTTGATTTAAGTCCATTAACAATTTCCAGTAATTGAGCGCAATTAATACAGGCTGTTTTTGGAGGCATCGTCTTTAAGTTCTGGGAATCTTTTAAAACTTGGCAACGTTGCCAATGAATGTTGCGGGATTCGTTGCGCTTATAGTGAGGTTATCTCAATTAAGTTATGAGTTTTTAATGAAAAACTAACATAAAAATTGTATGTAAGTCGCACTAACCTTTTAAAATAACAGTTTAAGAAAACGGGAACTTTTAAACTTTTCAAAATAAGCAAAATTAGTATAGCTCAAGTTAAGTAAACGTATCGTAACAGCGTTGCCATATTTGAAATCTTGCCTTATTTCGTTACACTCTACTTTGACGTTTGTTGACATTTAAATCCTGTTTTTGTTACCTAAGTAACAAATTTGAATTCAAAAGCCAATTTATATAATTAAAATATTGAATTCTAAAACTAAAAAAACGGTGGCGTGGGTAAACGATAAAGAAATTGCGGCTGCCATTTTAAATTTAAATAAAATATGTAAATATGTAATATGT